ATTTGTAAATCCTACATCAATTGTTTCAAACTTCATAGTTCCTTCATTGCCATAAGAATTGCTCTATATTCAAGTTCACTTCGACTAGATCTTCCCTATCTTCTGCTACCAGGGATTCCATTTCTGATTGACATTATATATTAATGTCGAAATAAGTAGTATATAACACAATATTACAACAATAACTCTTTATCATTTATTTGAATTGCAATAATTCAAAACATAATTTATAAATGTTTTTAACTGTTCAGGAATTAAAACCATAATTTTTTGAAATAGTTATTTATTGGTATTTCTTCAAAGAATAGACGAGAAGAAAAATATATCAACAACTTTTGTATTTCGATTTGAGTTGGGCAGTATTTAACATTGTTGTAATTTGCATGATTTTCATAATAGTACATGGGTACATAGAACTAAAATTTCTTATTCTATTTAAACGAATCTAAAAATAAGATTAATTACAAGGTTTGTACAGTTAGAAAATAACTAACCTAAACATTAAAGATGATTGTTTTCAAATCAACTGATGAAGTTTTAAACTATCATTAATATATCTTAACAAAAGTTGCTACGATTAACAATTTGTAAACATATTTTTAGACAAAATTAAAATTGTTTTCTTGGATGCAGTAAACTTCAATACCTAAACTTTAAAAAAACCTATCTATTTAATTAGATTATTTAAGAAAATAGTACTTTTACTAAAATACAGATAAACAACAAATGCAAAAGATTTGTTATCTACACTTAAAATAATGGCTCAGAATCGATCACAATGGCGTAGGTGTATACACTCAATGTGTTCCACTAAACTATGAGGTTAAAATTGCTTTATATCTTTCCTCATACCAACTAATTCTTTCTTCCTATCCTATATTCTTATATGCAATATTTTTTTATATATTACCACCACTGAATTAACTACTTCTATGAATCCGTGTTCATCATGTGCCTGGTCCTACGTTATAGTTGACTGACGCTTAACTTTTAGACCACTGAGCACGTATCCAACTTCAATCGATCCACGATCCTGTGCAACACTTCATTTATTGTCTGAGGTGATTAACTGCCTCACTTCCGACACGCATTGGACTCCACTGGTTACAGCTTCTCACCAGAAATCCAAGGAACCCTCTCGAATGTAGTCACTAGTGAATACATGATTATTATTATTATTATCAGACTAGGGGTTTGTGAAGATTGTAGTAAATTTAATAGTCAAATTCATGGGTCGATAAAAGCTAGACCGCCATAGAAAACCTGGAAGCACTGGACAACTGTTAGTATAGGATTCCTAAGCAGTGCACATGCACGAACCCGCAAGCGAATTTTCAATGATGGTTTATATTAAATCGATTGACGAATTCAAGTGTTAAAATTACTACAATCCCCATTTTCGATAATATAGTCAATTTATTAGATGTACTAAATAATGGACAATTAATCATATGATACATTAAAGAAAATCTATGTTGAAATTATCTACATCTTGGACATTTTGTTAGAATTACCTATTAAACAGACAAAATGAAAATTACTAATGATTAATTAGTTAATTTTTGAGTAATAATAATAATAATGTTGATTCATTTGAATTATAACGAAAATGCTTTAAGTCATAGTTACAAATTAACTATTTCTATTTTTGTATGGAACACTATAGAATGTTCTATTTTATTAATCAATTAACAAGTTAATTAATTTAGAGTACATCAATTTGTACTTTTGTATGATTTGTTAAATATTTATTATTAACATTTTTTTGTTTTTTACATATATGTGTATATACATAAATAAATTGTGTTAAACATAATTACCAGTATGGAGATTGTAATATGGTTAACAGTTGAATGTACGAGTGTGGCGCATATATATCCGGTGTCCCCTTGTACCAATATTTATGTGTTCAAATAAACATATCAATAAATGAATGTGCGAGTCAAATTAAGCTAGATCACAATTGAAAACTTGGAAGCACTGGAAAGTTGTTTTGAATTTAGTGTGATCAAGAATAGATTGACTCATGAATTTAAGTGTTAAGCATATATGATAAAAATTGGGAAGTCTTTAAATACATAAATGACTTCCAAATTGATTTACATGACATATTATTCATGCGTAGCATTAAGTTAACTTTATTGTTTATTAAGAAATTAGTCAATAAATTTAAGGTTGCTATGTTTTAAATGAATAAAATATTCCGTTATCATCGACATATAAAATACTTTCCCAATCGATTGAAAAACTATAATAATAAAACTAGTTAAATTAATACTTTTCACAGGACATTTCAACGGTAAACAAAAAGATGAGTATATGCGTTTTTCATAACCAAAATACAGAAAAATTTACAATAAAAGTGTTGGCATCTAAAAGAAATACAAAAATTTCATTTTATGGAGAGTATTTCCAATCTGAGGGTTGTATTGATCATAACTGGCAGAATATAGACTAATCAAAAGTGAAACGGTTATCACAAATATTATTAGATGATTATCACGTTATATTGAAAATCGACTGAACTTGAAACTGTCCCATTGGATGCCAAATCAACGGTTTTAATAGTTAACGGTCATCTACGAAACCCAAAGATCCTGGGTTCGACCTTTGGTGATATCACTGTTGCATACTATGAAGGGGTCTCATATTAGACCAGAACAAATGTTCAGTGTTTTATGATGCGCGGTGTCCGAAATGTGATAGTAATACACGACGTGCTACACGCTAACCCCCCAACCTGACTACTTGAGCGAGAACACAAGAATGAACAAGAAAGTACGTCGGGCTACCGAATAATATGTACAAATATTCAATTATATGCATACATCTCTGCCCCTTAGAAAATCAATCAATTTCTTAGCCAATGATATGCGTTTGTCCATCAGGTCACTTCTGACCAGCTTACTATATCACACTATTCATTGGTTTTCGATAGTACCCAAATTGCGATCATTCTACGGCAGATATAACTTACAAATTTCAAGCTCTTTAATTTATGATAACACCTTTAGCATAAAGAATACTTATAAACTTATTTTCACTGAAAGAATACTAGTACTAATTCTTCTTCTTATTTACAATAAGTATGAGTTAACAGATTATAACTGGAAAAATATAATAAAGAAGTTTAGTTAAGATATAAAACAAAATAAGGCCAAGGATTAAACCTAGCACAGAGCAATCAAAGTGATTTCATGTAGACTGAAAGTGAATGCATCATAACAACTGATGAGTCTAACCATAACATTATAGTTAGATACATAATCCGAAATGAATGTTTTAGCGGATCTGATCTTGATAACTTTCTTTTCATACTCCAAGATTATAAATCTATGTAAGTCGTTTAACAATAGTCAGTCCCAGTCACACAAAGGTGAATTTCAAATTTGAGTAAATGAAAACTGCAGTTTTTTTATTAATTGGGGTAGACTATATACAAGAAAGTGAGTATAAGTATGAGGTCACGTAATTTTAGGATAGCTTTATGTGTGAGTAAATGATTTGGTGGTTGAAGGCACTTTGCGGATATCAATCAAGTTTGTCCGAATTTACTATAAAATTTTTTATCATGAATGGGAAATCTAATTGTGAGTTGATTAGTAAATCACTCGTAACTTGATTGCGAAGATAATGTACAACATGGTTGTGCTGACTATCTTTTTAATAAATTTGAATGAAGACACAGAGTTCACCAAACTGTTCTTGGAATAGAGAAAATCCCACCCACAAAGTTCTGGGATATAATGCCTAAATTTTTAGATTACACATTACACGTCTGCTGTTTGATTACAGCCAAGAAAATCATGATCTTCGATTTACAGTCTTCAATTGCACACGCAGTTGAAAAAAATATATAAGGAGATTGATATAGATTTCGCTAGGTTAATCGGTAACTCAGATCCCTTATGTCATTCTCAATTTTCATTTTGAAAATTTCTCAAAGCCACTGAAGAATATGTGTCAGGAAGATGATTTCGGTGTAAAAATATATTCCCTATGACTTCACTTCTCTTTCTTAATTTTAATGATATTTATTTTTATTCAACAAAGCATTTAGATTCTACCATAAATTTCAAGCAGGTCATAATGAGTTATTTGTCGTCTGATTATGCATCATCATAATGTAAATGGCAGTTACCTTAGAGAGGAAATTTTTCAGGTTAATTCCTGTTTTTAACAAAACATGCGTGCATACGGCAATCAGTAAGATAAAACATTAAAGTAGCACATTAGTTAAAAGTAAAATCAGTTATGATGTCGAACTTGAAACATTGAATATTAAGAAAAATTCGAAGACCATAATCCAGTAACATCTTCACATCACACCATTATTATAGTACTTAATAGTGTAAATAACTAAGTTTTTAAAAAAAATACCACGACACTTGGCACAAATGCGGGGAATCTTTATTGATTGCATTCTTCAGACATAAATAGTAAGAACCTTAAAATAGAGTAGTAATCTAATCTTTACATCTAAATGTGAATTAGATACCCAAAAATCTTAGAAATCCACGAAAAGCCTAAATAGGCACATATGTGATTGGCTTCAACAGGTATATAATGGAGTTCTAGTGAGAAGCAGTGACCAGTGGAGTTCAACCGGGCCAATTGTGAGATAGTAACTCACTGATGACAATGGTAGATGTGCCGCTCAATTTCGTGGATAAATTGAAGTTAGGCATTAACACCGTTGGATGCCGACCAGCTCAGTGGTCTAATGGTTAGGCGCTCACTCGCGAGACTGTTAGATCCTGGGTTCGAATCTCGCGAGGCGGGGTCGTGGATGCACACTGCTGAGGAGTCCCACAATAGGACGAAACGGCCGTTCAGTGGTTCCAGGTTTTCCATGGTGGTCTGGCTTCAATTGACTCATGATCTTAACTATTGAAATTACTACAATCTCCACAAAACACCTTCTGACACATATGAACTCATCAATGTGATGTTAAGTGCGACATTCACAGACACCTTTTAGTGAATAGCATTCCAACATAAATAAGATAGTTTTTAGATTTAAATACATACTAACATTGTTGATACTCTAAGAATACATACAGTCATTAGCAATAATGAGAAATTTACTAAAGAAAATATCTCAGTGACATCAAAAAAGAATACGTTACAGGTTCAAGAATAATCATGAAAACTTACATTCATTCGTGAAAAATTATCAGTAGTTATTATACTAGTTACAATAGGTAAGAATTGCATTCATTACAAAGTTATGAAATATAAGAAAATATGAAACAAAAGATTTCATATCAGAGACCTGAATGTATACGGTACGATGCAAGCTCTGAGTTCAACACTATAAGTGAGGAATGCTGAGAAATAAAATATATTAACAGTGCTCTTTAGTTTGGAATGTGTAATTTCAGTTTATTTCAATCGGCAGTTGAAACTCACTGTCTGAAGTATATAAGATTCTTCACAAAATATAACAATCCGAACAAACGTGCACACATACAAAACAATTTACGATTTGGAAAAACCGAAGACAAAAGTTGAGTACATTACAGTATATATTATTATTACCATTTAGTACAAAATCTATATTTACAGATGTACGGAAGAATAATAAAATTGAAAAGGATCAAAAAGTGATAAAAACGCATTCGTAATAATAATAAGTCGAAGAGGAACACGTCAAATAAAATTTATTTCACGTGTACGAATAGTAAGAATAGTGGTCTGTGACAATATCTACACGAAGTAATAAATAAGAACAAATAATAAAACTATACAAACCGAAAATAGCCGATGCCAACGAACTGGCTACAAACCAATAACTTATACAGAATGGTAATAAACCATAAGCTGTATACAAAATGCATGAAAAGATATAACTTAAAGTATATGCTATTTGAAATTTCAAACATTTAAAGCATAGAATTGATGATAATAATGTAGTTGAATGTTGTTTATGTGTATGGGATTGACTGAATTGATTTAAGAAAAGTATATCAGCTAGAGCTTGTGTAGTTATATTTGATTGATCTGCAAGAAATAATAAATGCAATGGACATAATGCAATAGTTAATAAAAATTCACTCCAATAATACAATGGTGAATTTGTTCTACCGAAAAATTGACGATCAAACGTTGGCAAAGATGGTGCATAACCTTTCACAATTGGTGAATGAATAAACACCATGTACAACAAAAGAATAGTGAAACAGGTTAATGCTAAAACATGACGATATCGATGAAGTTGTTTACCATGAAAAGTGAAGATGATCCATGGAAGAAAGAATATCTATAAAAGAATTAAACAAATGTATATTAAAGGAGTCTATATATATATATATATATATATATATATATATATATATATATATATATATATATATATATATATACAATTGAAATAAACTTGAAAATGCTTTGTATCTCAAACGACCTACTTCTATTTCCGTAGACAAAATTGGACAGAAGTGATAACGAAGGATAACTGCTAATATAATGCAAACGTTGACCATAGATATTAGAATAAATCGTAAAACATAGTTGGAATCATTGTCAATGAGTCGAGCAGACCGACATCGAACCTGAAATTTGAAGAAACACATTAAAGAATATGATAAAACAAGAATGTGTCGATCAATGAATGTAAATAGAAATATTTAAATATTTCAAGACTAAAATTAACCTAGGAAGACAATAAAAACCAAGCACAGTCTAATAGCATCATTGACAAGTTCCTTTTTTCATTAGTATAATTAGAGACTATCATTGTCTGCAACAGTTCAGTGTCATATTTACATAGAGAACCTACTGAAAACAGTAATAATTCATACATCTATCGTTATTTGTGTTATACTGTAAGGTTTCCGGTTCTGATTTTGATATACAAGCCCGAGTGGATATTTGAGTGAGAAGAAAGATTTAATGACCAGACCGAATCGAGATATATATATGAATCACGTATAATACAATAAACAAATTCCACCACCCGATAATGTGCAAAGTTATATCAAACAATCTACCATGTTTACTTAATTTTATATTACATGTGTATTATGTACTACAACACATTTGATCTAACGAGAAACTCATGATTACAACTAGGGTAACCCATCTCACAATATACACAAATGAAATGATGATGAACATAAATGTTATTCAATAGTCAAATTGAAAACATATGAATACAATAAGATCAAAAAAGTCGTGTTCATATGGTGAATAAGACTTGATAGGAATGTGTTCAGGATGGACAAGTGATTTTGCAATTTTTGGAAATGTCACTGGTTGAAATCATGAGTCAGTTGAAGCTAGACCACCATGGAAAACCTGGAAGCATTGGACGGCCGTTTCGTCCTAGTATGGGACTCATCAGCAGTGCGCATCCATGATCTCGCCCCATGCGAGATTCGAACCCAGGACCTACTGATTTCGTGCGCGAGCACTTAACCACTAGACCACTGAGTCGGCCGGCATCCAATGGTGTTAATGTCTAACTTCAACCAATCCACAAAGTTGTGCCACCGTATACCATTGTCTTCAGTGAGTTGATATCTCACAACAGACCTGGTTGAACTCCACTGGTAACGGCTTCGAATCTCGCGGAGTGCGGGATCGTGAATGTGCACTGCTGAGAAGTCCCATACTAGGACGAAACGGCCGTCCAGTGCTTCTAGGTTGTTCATGGTGGTCTAGCTTCAATTGACTCATGAATTCAACCAGTGACATTTCTGAAATTTCTACAAAACCCCTTCTGATTTTGGAAATGTCTTGAAGAAATTATTTTAAATTGTAGTATATATAACATCAAAATAAATACATTTTTACATTCAGGTATAAATATGGTAAAATTTGAAATAAATATTCTTAGCAAATACCTTTAATTAGATGTTTGTTTTAAAAATAAAAATAGATTAATAAATTATTTACTGCCAGATATATATAATGCATACATACACACACAGACAGAACGACATAAATTTACAACTACTTGCCTTGTCACAGAGCCATCTTTGAGGGTATCCAACGGAGATTTGTGCAATACAAAATATTTTCAATGCGAATATTGTATACAACTGACAAATAGTATCAATCACAGATACTTCCAAATAATGAACAAGATATACTAATAAAATCAGTAAACTAACTAATGAACAAAGTAACCTAGAATGTGATATAAATTGGAAATAAAAGCAAACAGAATAATAATAGTGATCGTGATAATTTATGATACATTTCAGTATTTATAATGTACAATTGATTGGTTTACTAAATTGTAAATTACAGGTGTTCTTGGTAATAAATATGATTGTAGTTGATGTGAATAGAGAAACAAAAAAATGACAAACAATGAGAGCTATTTTCGGAGACTTATTTCACTTAATTCAAAGCTTATAAAACACTAATATTTAGTTTTGTCCCTAGTTTATTTTATAAACCATGAGCTTTCGCTTGATGTATAATTCACTGCCAAACCCTTTTCTTTTCCAAAGTTATTGTAATTAAAACCTAACCTTTAGTACTCTATTTTTCTACCTTAATGCCCATTTTCGATGTAATTCTATTTTCCTAATTGTTTGGGCGTTGTGGTCATGTTAGTCATTTACTTACTCACGAATCTTTTTATACTAAGCTGAATTGGGAATCAGGAATAAATGGAGTAGTGTTCCAGTTGACTTGTCTTCTTTCTCTCTCGCTTGTCAATCAATCAGGTGATAGAATAGTTTTCGCCTCTACTCAAGGTCGTCAGTCTCATTTCGGAATCATGCATTTCCAGCCTATCGGATCAAGACCTTAAGCCAGATCGAGACAAGTTCCCTGCTGTATATAATTGGACGAACAGACTAAGGATGTAACGTCAGCATATAGTTTTATTTGATCCGTCATTTTAACTACACGTTTTGTATTTAAATTGTGGGTTTCAGTAGATATTTAGATGATGACGTTCAATATGGGTTACTGTTATGTTGTGTATAAATTTGTGATTATTAAAATTATAGGCTTAATTGTCGATGATACATTAGAAAATAAGTGATGTAATTCAGTGTCAACAAATATCACGACTATTTATTTTTTTGTGGAAACTAATCAAAAAATACAAAATAATTCACAAATATCATTAAACATCTTGTTAGTTTTACGGTATAAAATAGCGGTTACGTATAAATTTCTGAAATAAGCCGAAAGTAATTGTTATAGTTTACTAATAAAAATGTTAATTCCATACCCTAATTGAGTGTAATTTAATTTAAAGTAACTTAGTAATCATTTGTAAATTTAAGAACTGAGCTTCAATGTGTAAAAGACAGAAGTAGTATTAAATGTCTTAATAGTCAGGTTTCTAGATGATAGACAAATGGCTCAAATCCAGAGTATTTATCAAGAGAGTACCAATTTTAGGGTTATATTAAATTGTTTGTGAATTTATTTATTTTAACGCATAAACATTGGTACAAGGAGGCACGAAATGTATATGCGCCACACAAACAATTTGATTTGTGTGAAGGCTCGGATACTGTCCAGTTGTCCAGACCGAAGCAGGTGGTTTTCTTAGGAGGGCAGCCCTCTAGTCTTTAACCTAGAGATCTAATCCACAAGACAGTGGGGCAACGTCAAGAAATGGAGTCCCACAGAAGTCGGTGACCAATAATTGGTTCATACGCCATTTGTTCCCTTAGGATCCTGAAGCCTATGTGCACCATTGGTTTGAAAACAGGATTTTACAACTCCCTTAAGTGGATCCTCCATATCCACCAACCCGTTTAAAGCGCCGGACATTTGCTTTTCGTCCTCTCAATTTCGTAACACCAACCGCCGCGAGAAGGCGATGGGTAAGACTCCCCTGACAGTGGTTGTATACACATAGTCATGTGATAGTACTTCGAGATGAAGAGCGAACTTTCAACATCCTCGGCCGTACTAAGGAATTCGGAGGTGGAAGCCTGCCTCGGGCGAATACAAAAAGTAATAATTAATATTTGATTTGCATAACTCATACAAAACTCATCAATGTAATTAACACAGCAATATAAACGTAACAATTACCTACGAACTTAGTATACTACAGTAATGAACGAGAACTTAGATTGGGAAAACCAATTTATTGTTTAGTGCGAAATTACAGTGTCTTCGTAAGACTATGATGACAATACATTTATTATGTTATTTGAACATCATCTTTCAGTTGTTGTGTACATGCTTCATGATTCTTTCAATTCTGTTGTTACTACAATCGCTCACTGTTTCCTTTCCTGTTCTCTTAAATTCAATCTTCTTAATCTTTTGCAGGCAGGCATTTTACTTCCGACTCCTGCTACATACTATTTACATGTTTTAGCACAAATAGAATGCACCATACAACTGAACGCCTTCACTTTTATCTAAGATTTCATAGTTTGTAATTATTATCTTTACTTTCATAATAACAATTATTAGGATAAATATTATACTTTAGAGAATACGTTTTTAGTCTAAAATAAACTTATTTCAATTGCGCTAAGATATCGTTGATGATATTCACTAAGTTGATGATCAGTATTACAATATTACATTTAACGATTAACGGTTATGTGTTTAGGAGGTCACAATTAATCAACAGGAAGCTTATAGTTTAGCAAATGGTTTAGAACAGCATTTAACAACGATTGATTTATTTACTACAAGAGCGTTTCTACTTACATTCATGACATTGATAACCAAGGTACATGTGATTTGAAATCAAAATTATACAAGAGGAATTTAAGTTCATATGTCCTCAATATTTTTTTATGATATTCTCAAGAAAGTTCTGTAAACAAAGAAAACTGTTATCGTTATTTAACTTCGATCAGTTGTTATTCAATATACTGTCTTGTAATGTTATAGTATTACTGTTCCAGTCACAGATTTTCATTATGATCTCGTTACACAAACAAAAATTTTGAAATTTTGATTTTAAGAAATTAAAACTTACAAAATTAATCTTATAAGTAATTCACGAAATGAATCGCATACAGCTACATGACTATGTCTTGGATTATTCAATGAAACGGATGAGAATTTCTTCGATGATTTCTTCAATGAACCGCTATTGTCGTCTTTTTCGAACATAGTCATTATCATATCAGATTCGCAGTTAGTAAACGTACACTGAATTTGATCAGTTATTAAACTATCGTTAATATCCCAAATTACGAAACAAATCACACACGATACAAAAACTGAGAAAAGCAAAAATACAGTCAAGTTGGGAGGAAATAAATCTACCTACAAAATTAAAGAAAACATAGACGGTGAAATAATAATAATAGAAACAAAATGACTGCAAGTTAAGAACTAAATTTTCTTATATGTAAAGAGCGAATCACAAACTTTATAGATTAGATTCTCGATCATATAGTACACAACTAAGACTATTACGCTTCGAATGAATAGATTTGATATACGGGTAACTCATTCGATAGAAAATAAAACTATATCTATCACAGAATAGCTTAATTTAGACAAAATTTACTGGTGTAGATTGCCCGATTTCGAAGTAAAAAGTAGTAATGGGAAGGAAAAGGTAAATCTACGTAGGGAAAATGATCGGGAACACACGTTTCAGTTTATCTTATTTCATCATGAATATTGATTTGGTATTTAAACATACTGGATAGGAAAGAGTACCTAACGATTAACAATAATAATAATAATAATGTTTTATTCAATACTAAAAGTCTTAACGAAGTAAATAATTCGCGGCATTAATTGTGCAATATTACAACAAATGTCTTCTTACCATGCATTCAAATTGTATTTATTCAAAACATCGTTTATATATGATTCAAGTAGTTAGTGTTTGCCACAAATATTCAATCATTACGGTTTACTACCACTTTCAATGCTATAATTTTTTTCCCAGCTATCGTATAAAAGGTGATTGAATTTCATACGATTTGTCTAACGTTTTTTCAAAGAGCAGATAGAGAGAAAATATCTCAAGAAATGTAATGATTCTGTTTGATTTTTACACTAATTAGCATTGTAGTAATTTCTAATCCTTTTACGACAGCTCGTAAGTATAAACAACAATCACCATTCAAAATTATTCACTTCGAACAAATCTAAAACCGGTAGGTTAATACTATCATTTCCACTGTTGAATAATAGGTGGTCAAAACGTTCTCGCGAACCATCGGTATTTCATATTGTCATTAAATCAAATTGGTATTACACTATTCATGTATGAGAATACTGTTTCGAAAACATATCAAGATACTTTTAAACGCTAAGTGAAATGATATCAATCAGAATTATGACAGATTGTAATACGAAACAAACACCGAACCAATATTAGAATTGGAGGACGTTTAAAAAAATGACGAGAGCAAAAACAAAAAAAAACAAGCGATGAAAACAACAAAGTAATAAAACAAAGATGGAATATGCATACTACACAGTCAGTCATAAAGAACCTAGAAGCTCATACGTAAATGAATCGGTTAAAGTTTACAACCAAAACGAACATGTGTTCATATATTCATCATGATTATCTTGTAGGTATAAAACGCGAAGCCTACACCTCTACGCTCCATACACAATATTCAACAATTCCACAGCCAATACATTGACTAACTATATCTACAATTAATGTTTCGTACAATCCCACTATCACCGTTGCTACCATACTATATGAACGGAATATTATTATAAGAGACATAAAATTCGAAAAATTTCAAACTTCCACGTGATTTGAAGTTCCATATTAATCCAATGGACAATGAATATTATCGATTAAATAAAGGTCTATACAACAATTCAATATGATTTACACATCCACAACTTATGTTTTCCTTATCTCCGTAACTACTAATAAAACATTCCTACTCAAACATGCTACAAAAAATTAAAACAAGACACGTTAACAGTTTAGTAAGCCAAATTTCAAGTTGTTTTAATCAGCTGGTTTCCAGTTTATCCATTCCTGTTTTTCTTAGAAAAACAAACACATGAAACTATCTAACATATTGAATGACTGAAAATATATTTGACATTGTCTCAACAACAAAATTTAGTAATTAGCTCCACTAAACTGTACGATGATCCTGTCTACACTTAAAATTATGGATGATAATTGAAGTAATTACATTTGGTGGAGTATTCTGTTGCAAAATATCAAGTGTTTTGAGCAGATAAATTAAAAACCTCATTCATTGAAAAAGTAAGAATATACTTAAACAACACTCCCAGCATCGAGATCAAAAGGTCGGATTCCGTAAGGATCAGTCGTGAACAGATAATATCTTGATACTGTGGATCGTCGTTGAACAATCAAATAAATGGAACTAACCATTACTCAAAACAACTGTCAGCCAACAGAAAATTAAGAACCATCAACGCAGAAGTCAATACAGTTCTACTGTACGGAGCTCAAACTTCGAGAACTATTACAACCATCATCAAAAAATTACAGACATTTATTAACGGTTGACTATGCAAGATACTCAATATCCATTGACCAGACACCATCGGCTCTAACCTACACTGATAGGGAACAAACCAAATTCCAGTCGAAGATGATATACGAGAAAGAAGCTTGAGGTGGACAGGGCACACACTGTGATCAAACTGCGTCATAAGGCAAGCTTCAACTAGGAATCCAGAAGGCAAAAGCAAAAGAGGAAGATCAAAACACACTGACTTGGGAATGGGAGGCAGAAATCAGAGTAGTGAATAGCACTGGGAAATAACTGGAAAGGAGAGTCCAGGTCAGAGTTGGTTGGAGAGTCGTGATGGGGATCGTACGTTCCACAAGGGGTAATAGGCATAAGTACGTAATTAATGGAGTTATCGATGGAAAATGATAAAGCAACAAATTTACGAAGATTTCGAAAACAGATTTTGTCAAAAGTATTCAAATAATGATCACTGCACATCTTGTTATGCAGGCCAAGTTAAAGGTTTTTAAATTAAATGACAACGAGACAGAATCCAAAAAGTAATGCAAGTTATACATGTGTCCGGAAAATCTCCAGTGACCGCTAGCCACGTGCATTGCAAACCACTGTTCCGAGAATATTAGATCTTAATTGTTAACGAGGTGCATCGTGTGAATTCAGTCATTAGGACAAAAGAGGAACAAGTTAAAATTTAGCTGCAGTAAAAAATGAGCTACAATAATTCAAATACTATTTAAAATGGATCAGATTAAATACGATAATATAAGTGTACACAAGTAAATGTAGGTATAAGAAGTGTAGTCAATATTCAATAAATTTTAAAGGTCATTTTGACTACGAACAGAGATAAGATTGTAATGTCCGGAAACAAATTAGGTCTATGCAAAGTTTCATAGTTCTGATAAATTCAAAAGCATTTATTTGTCAATACACCTAGTTCTCAGCAGTTAAAAAATGATGCCAATTCATGATGGAACCCATCTTTCAATTAAACAAAAGCTATTAATTTATCATTGAAAAAAAATAAAGTAGATCAACTTACTGATATCATAGAGGTGAATGAAACAGACAAAATGAATAAACCAGGATAAATTACATTCTGAAGTGCATACATAAATACACTAATAGAATATAATTCCAATGTTGCATAAGAGAATAAACATATCATCCAAATTATGCATAATATACAAGTAGGAATAGTTACGACGTAGACAACAGCCCTAAATATTTTTGTGAAGTAAAAAAAAAACACAAAACAAACCATAATTGTTGATTAGAGAATTTTCAAATGTGATTTATTAGGAACTTGAACATATTTATCAGATTAACAATCACAGTACTAATCATGAAAATGACAATAATATTAGTTGGTGTAATAATAATGGAATTTAATTTTTTTAATTAGTTTTACGGATATACACATACAGGAGTTAACTAGTTAACTAGATAGCAACTCGGACTGAAACGTCTTTATCTGGAAATTGTACCAGATTGATGAAAATCAACATATTAATAGAATAAGTTACATATTGTGATGTGAGAGTCAGGCAGTCAAGTCATCTGCGACGTAGCATCAGTCCAAGTTGCTAAACCTCATTAGCATAACAAGATGAACACCGAATTAATAGTAGTTAATTCAATGGTAGTAAAAAAAGATTTCATATAAAGATATGATACAGAGAGGAAGAGTTGGTTTATTTATTTATTTGAACACAAAAATATTGGTACAAGGGGGCACCAGATATATATGCGCCACACAATAATAATGAGAATGGGAAGAGATAAAGAATGTAAAGTGCGTATAAAAAGAAATAACGACCGCGAATTACTGTATGGTAGTGATATAATAATAATAATAATAATAATAATAATAATAATAATAATAATAATAATAATAATAATGGGAGAAACAGAAATTCTTTCAGTTAAAGAAGTGACGGCCACTTTTTATGTAGAAAGTAAAAGAAGGTTAGAGCAGGACCGCCACTGGATTCCATTATGGGCCCCCAAATGCCCTGGCACGGCCGAGAGTAGGGAGAGTCCGCTCTCCCTCTCCGAATGCTTTCACACGGCCACGTGCATACAACCACTTCCAGGGAAGTCCTACTCACTGTCTTCTCGTGGCGGGGGTGCTGTTTACGAAATTGAGAGGACGAAAAGCGAATGTTCGGCGCTTTAACCGGGTTGGTGGACATGGAGAGTCCACCTAGGGGAGTTGGAAAACTCTGATTCCAAACCAATGGTGGACATGGGCTCCAGTATCCTGAAGTAACAAATGGCATATGAACCAATCGCTGGTCACCGGCTACCATGGGACTGCATCTCCTTACGTTGCTCCACTGCCTTGTGGATCAGACCTTCAGGTCGAAGGCTCCGGGTGTGGCCCCCTAAGAAAACCACCTGCTTCAGTTTGGGCACCCGGGCAGTATCACAGCCCTCACACATATCAAATGAGATCTGTGTGGCGCATATGTATTTGGTGCCTCGTTGTACCAATATCTGTGTTAAAATTAAAAAAATAATTATGAGCTATATCTGATAACATCTCTAGACACTGTGTTGCATCATCGATAGGACCCCAACCAGGGAGTCGTGAAGGACCAACAGAAGCCAGTCCTAGGCAGATTTCTTTCATGCCGCGACACCATGTCAAACACTGACCACCTCCCCACTTTTTACAATCAGTCCCAGCATCAGTAAATAGTGCACGACGAGGGATTCGCTGGGACGACATTCGTAGAACATGTCCAAGCCACCGAAGTCAATGTTTCAAGATAGTGACATCAATTGAATTACCGTCTCTGCAGCCGAACACACGATGCCGAACCTCTGCATTACTAACATGGTGTTGCCACTGGATGTCAGCAATCCTTGGGAGACAACGATGATCAAACACAGAGTCGCGTGGACCCCGACCAAGTAGTCTACATCTACCAACATGGCTCCGACAGAAAGTTAATGACTTTATGGATTGATGCCGCGTTTTTGGTTTGGCCAACCCTAACTTTATTCCGTCCATCTCCAACACTAGTCAGCATTGCGTACCATGGTAATCGGTAGTTGGGCATATGTAACACGTGGCCCACATGATATGCGAAAAGAATAATTAGTTAATTTTATCAACTGTCACGCATTATGGTTCTGTGGTGTTGTTTTTTGCTGGCGAATACGATAGGATTGTTACAATTTTGAATGGAGTGTTGCGGATTGACTAATGATGATATGATGATGTCAGGTCTGATTGCACATTATATCAATGTTGGTGTTTTGAACAGTAAAAAAACTTTAAGATATTCGATTATATCCATTGTATCTAACTACTATCATTTTCAATTATTAAAAAATTAATAAATGATTAAAAATGACAGTAGGCAGAGCAGTGTACAAACGTAAAAAGTAACCAGTCTTAATGCGTTAAAGTAAGTTCATTGATTGTACACAGATGAACCAGTATTATCCTGTTATCTATTTAGCACGTGATTTTTTCACTGCAAATTTCTTATGTCAACTTACTTCACCTTTGAGGCAGACTAGGTGTATGTCTTCCAACCACATTACACTACGTTTTAATTAATGACTATGTGACATGGTTACTGAGAATAGAAGACATGAATAAGTTGTAGGCATTTGATCATAAGTGTTTTCAAAGCACGTTTTGCGTTTCGTGAGACGAAAAGCATACAGTTCTAGGCAAAAGTGGCAAGTCATCCAATGAGGTAGTGAATTTTCATCGACTGCGGCGGTTGAGATATATGTCACGAGTGATCAACCAACACTTACCACAACAGATGAATATTGAAACGTGTAAAACGAATGAGTGGTAGTGATATTTCACTTCTACAGTTTGCTGGAAAAACCATAAAATCGAATGAAGAATACTAACAAAAGCCTAAATAACTGGCTTTACAAATAGCTAGAGATTTGTTTATCATTAAAAATGTAACACTAGAAACAATTTTTGTTTTATTATTCCCACTTTCGATAATAAAGTTACGTTGCAAGTTCGCAAAAAATATAGAAACCTTAAATTGATTGCAGTATGTTAAGAAATAGCGCCATGTTGAAAAGTTTTATCAAACTCCAACATAATAGCAACTGACAACGGCCTAATACGAAATGCTAGAGGTGCTAATATAAAGATAAAGCCGTGATGAAGTGAATGGTTTGAAAGTTATTAGTCCTTATATCGAACAGAGGGAACATTCTTTACAGTTCTATTGATTAGTAAAGCTAGTTAAGGAAGCTATCTTCGGTACTAATCAGTTCCACAAATTATCGAGTCGAACACCTAACCGGAAGTCAAGAATACAAAAACATGTCTGAGTTGGACTGTTTAATAAGAATGAGGATAAAGCTCTGTTTGTTGTGATAGCACGAGAAAGGAAAACTACTAAGTAATTAGGTGTGGGAAATCACATTGTTGGGACTAGCACACCCGTATTACTCCTGACATGGTAGTTCAGTTGGAAATTTAGGGGTTTGTTGAAAGTTTATACGGATTCCGTATACTGTCAATAATTGCTGTAAGAAAGGTAAGGAAATGTTTTAAATTAGAGCATCCATTGATTTCCCCGTAATCATCGATGTCAAAATTATTATTAACCTTAAGTCGAAGGTCACACTTGCTATGCGAGGATATCTTTGGGATTACGACAAAAATTGTCACAGCATATATAAGTACACGGCTACTGTTCCAAACCACGTTAAGCCCACAAGAATCATCTGGGTAGATAACCCACAGACATATACATAACCCAGATACCTAGTAGAAAGATGATAATTGTTAATAGCCAGGAACAATTTAAACAGCTACGTAACTTAGTTAAACACAATGCTAAGGAAAAAATCAAATAGTAATAAGATAGCGTTTGAACACAAAATATAATCTTTTTAAATTACATATATACATATATGTGGTGAGACAAAAAAGTGATAACATACTCAGACAAATTAAGATCAAGCTGAATTGAATTAAAAGTTAGTGCTAAAAGTAATAGACCAATTTTGGCAAAATTACGAGAATAATCAGACGTTTCACAGCTTATTAGATTTAAATTCAATGCAGATGGTAGAATTAATGCTAAACTGGTCACCAGACATGAAATAGCTAAAATAGAAACACAAAACAATGAAAAGAGAATAAATAGTAGGGGGTATAGGAATTTTACAACGATTCACGGAATGAAAAATACAATAGTTTAAACTAAAAATGGAAATAACATGGATGATGGAACCAAAAAAAGCAAGTCAGACATTTTTGAAAACATAGACGAACTGGGAAAACAATAGCTAAGTAACAAACACACGAATACAGGTAGCAAAAGATCATACATGAGGACGCTTATTATAAAAAAAAATCTGATTTATTTAATGATTTTTAATGGGAATATATGCGAATAATACAATATGACTTTAATAGTTCTGCGACATTATGGCACTCTAATATCCTAAACATGCTGGCCTGTATTTGGCATTAATAAGTTTGGAGCAAAATAATGATAAGCCGACCATATATGCTATTTCGATTTGGTGGTCTGGCTTGTATATCGCAATAATTTGATTGGAGCATATCAGCTGGAAGCTTTTATCTTCTAGATGATGCGATTTCATATAGGTCGGTTGGAGAACGATAAACCTACAAGCAGCAAACATAAGGCCCAGGAGCGAATTCGTACTTCTGACCCTACAGAGGTATGACGGCAGTAAGGTGTTCCACACAAGAGACCAACATCTGTACTCATGTTGATTTCCCACAACGGAGAGAAGGGGCTACAAAATGTTGGTCCTAAGCATAGTAATATTCATCCTGTCCTTTAAATTTTCGTCTACGGTGGTAAATCCTGAAAATTACGGAGCTAACACAGAACGAACTACCCATAAAAAGGTAGTATATGATAAATACCATTTAGTTACTCCTTGGGCTTTGTGACCAAGCCCCTATATTTTCAAAATCACAGTAACACCAACCCTTCATCCAGGACCCTCGAGAAGTATTCTTCATGGTGTGGCCAATCGAGAAATGACAACTGCCGTACTACATTTAACAGCACTAGAGATCATCAACTGACTGGCTGATAACTAATGAACACAATTTGGTAAATAAATGAAACTTTGAATCGTATAACTGCGTATTAAATGAACTGATCAAGTTTATTTACGTTCCTCGTTGGGTTTACATATACACAATAAGGGTGAAGATAAACCAGTACACTAATACGTTTGGATTTTATAGACAAGACAACAATTACGAATTACCAGCATTATCTTCTTAACACAAACCTCAGATGGAAAGATGTTTTATAATGGTAAATAACAACTGTATTGTATATATACCGTCAACTTCCATCAACCGATAAATGCTTCATTTTAATGTAGATTCCATCCAGCAATACGTGAGCATACTTAAAGTAAGGACCTGATACAGTAAGGACTCGGAAAGATAGGGACACTCGTCGTTGTCTCTTCGTCGTCTCTGCTTACTCTCCCACTGACTGTAGCTCAGATGATGTAAAAGATGAGTTTTACAGAAAGCTTTCGGACCTTCTCCGAAAAGCTAGGCACTTTGATGTAGTGATAGTGGATGGTGACTTTAATGCTCAAGTAGGTAAACTAAGTGAAAGGAAAAGACACCTGGGTGGATCTTATAGTGTCGTGGCTCAAAGAACAGATAATGGCGACCGTCTGTTGCAGCTATGCTCAGATAACCACCTCTTTCTTGCAAACGCTAACTTTAAGCATAAAGAAAAACATCTTTTGACTTGGCGACCCAATAATTCGTCCCAACGTTGGACCCAAATAGATCACATTGCTATCAGCCACCGATGGAGGGGCTCAATAGAAGACTGTCGCTGATTCTGGAGCACATGCTTAGACTCAGATCATGTTCTAGTAAGAGCGCGTATTTGTCTGAGTCTTAATGGACGTAGGAAAGACGCTGCAAGTAAACCTCTTAGGGTCCTACTTAATGATAGTCAAGCTAAGAGTATATTTCAGGAACAATTAGAAGAACAGTTCGGCAGCCATGTGTATGTGATGCCCACCCCGAGGCAGCATGGAATGATATCCGAAAAGCTGTGGAAACAGCAGTGATATCTGCTAGTACGGTAACCCGTAAGGCTAGGGAGCAACACTGGATCTCAGCAGCATCTACCTCACTGATAGATGCTCGGAAACTCATACCACCTGGCTCTGAACATAATGTAGAGCGGAGTCAGCTTAAGCGCAAGCTGACAAGAAGCCTACGCAATGATCGTGAACAGTGGTGGGTAGCGAAAGCAAGAGAGATGGAAAAGGCAGCCGCAATAGGTAACAGCAGACAAGTGTTCAGACTTGTTAACGAAATCGGTATTAGGAACCCGACTGTTAGCGAAACTATCACAACCGTAGTATTTCTCGACCTTAGGGCAGCATCTGACTCGGTTGATCGTGAGTTTCTATGGCAGTGTTTGTCACTGAAAGAAGTACCAAAGAAATACATTAAACTTATAAAGGCTCTCTACTCCAACACAACTGGTCGAGTGAGGGCTTATGGCGAACCGTCATCAGAATTGATTACCTCAAGTGGTGTTCGTCAGGGCTGTCCACTCTCCCCATTCTTGTTCAACTTTGTCGTCGACATACTTTTAGAGATAACACTTCCCTCGTCTAAATTTCCAGGGGTTGAACTTCTACCGGGAGGTTCACTTGTTGACTTAGAATATGCTGATGACATAGTTTTATTTGGTGAAGACGCTGACAAAATGTAGAGTCTTCTGACCACTCTAAGCAACAATGCAAGCATGTTCGGGATGCGATTCTCTCCCTCGAAATGCAAAATGTTGCTTCAGGATTGGGTTACATCGACACCCGAACTAGTGATAGGGAGTGAAGTAGTTGAGTGTGTCGACCGCTTCACTTATCTTGGAAGTCTCATCAGCCCTTGTGGTCTGGTGTGTGACGAAATCTCAGCACGGATACAGAAGGCTCGACTAGCTTTTGCCAACTTGCGTCATTTATGGCGTAGGCGAGATATCCGTCTATTAACCAAAGGACGGGTTTACTGCGCAGCAGTTCGTTCCGTCCTACTTTATGGCAGTGAAACATGGCCGGTAAGAGTAGAGGATATTCGTAGGTTACTAGTATTTGATCATAGGTGTCTTCGAAATATTGCTCGCATATCCTGGGACCATCGAGTAAGTAATGCAGTTGTTAGGAAACGGGTACTAGGTAAGGATGGCAAATCAATTGATGAAGTAGTGGAACTTCGTCAGTTGAGATGGCTGGGACATGTGTTACGTATTCCCAACGACCGACTGCCCCGACGTGCGATGTTGGAAGAAAGTTAGGCGTAGCCATACCAAAACATGGCACAAGTCCATGAAGTCACTGACAAGTGGACTGAGTTATGTTGGTATGTGTAGACTACCTGGTTGGGGACCGCGAGATGATAGAAACCGATGGTTAGAGACCCTATATGACATGGCTCAGAATTGTTTGCGATGGCGCAGGTGCATCCACTCTCTTTGTGTTCTCCCAAATTCTAATCTTCTGTATTTTTTATGTCCCTTTTCTTTTCCTCTTTCCAAATTTATTTCACTGTATTATACTCCTTGAATAATATCTCCAAACCCTAATGTTTCGGATTACTGCTTATACTTTTACTATCTCTTGAATCGACAACTGCATCTCTGTGTTAGTGTGGTGTGGTAACTCTAACTGATGTGCGTACGTACGAAGTTCTACGTTGTTACTGACTGACTGACTGAAAAACCTGATATACATGACACTGATCACCACCCAATGATCAATCAATTGTAAAAGTCAATGACAAATACTTTAATGAAATGGTGGTCACTTTCGCAAAATTTCAAAGGAAGCACATTTCAAAACGCTGAAGGATAAAATTCGAAGTAGTTGACCATATTTTCTGTCAGATATTTTAAAGTTACAAAAAGAAAACAAGATAACTTACAAATTTGAATAAGAATATAAATATTTGAAGTAAGAAATAAATCAGTATCCACGTTAGAAAGTAACATCACTTGGGACCAGACTAAAGTGATAGCGGTACAAAAATACCCCACCATCATTAATGGTTCAATCACAATACGACTCTGCAAAAAAGGAGTAAGTGGATCACTTCATTTTCAACAAGTTATTCAACCATAATCATACATAATAGCGTACATCTGTATCGTCCTTTAATAGTTATAACTTCATTATCATAAAAAAGTAACAAATGAAAATATGCGAAAATAAACCGATTTCATTGAAATTCTGGACCGATCTAAGTTAGACAACCATTGAAAACCTAGGAGCATTGGGTGGCTGTTTCATTATAGTATGGGACTTCTCAACAATGCTCACTCACGACCCCCTGCGCGGGGATCGAACCCAGGACCTTCGGTCAAGCAAGCGAACGCTTGACCCATAGGCTGGTTCTGGATTTCAATGAAATTCAACGACTTTCACAACCCTATACTTACAATTATCATGAGTTCACTAGTGCCCAGCATCGAGAAGAAATTTCCGGAGTCCTAGTAAGAAGTTGTGACCAGTGGAGCTAATTCGTGCCGGATGTGAGGCAGTTGTCCACCGAAGACAATAGAAGATGGTCGGGCAATATTATGAACTGATCGAAGTTAGACATTAACACCGTTGGATACCGACCAACTGATCTAGAAATCAAGCGGCCGTGCGAGATCAGAGGCCTTAGGTTCGATCACCGTGAAGATGGTTGTGCACTGCCGAGGAGTCCTATTCAAGGACGAAACGCTCATCCAGTACTTATAGGTTTAGAACGGTTTTCTAACTTTGATCGGGTTGTGATTTCAATGGAATACATCAATCTTCGCAGCCCTATACTACAAAGCAATTGCAGCCATTATATACATAACTGTAAACTAGGCAATGAGATTGCCGCCAAGTGTTAAAGTTGGTATTAATATCTAAGGTCAATATTTTAAAGACTGATATTAGAATACCATACTTGGCACACCATTCACCGATACTAGAAGTTAATTTGATTTACTTAACATTTTACAGATGAGAACTTTCAAATTATGCATTTATGACGAAATATCTATGGATAAACTATTGGTTAAAAAAAGACTGATAAATTAATTTTATACACCCAGAAAGTGGATTCTAAATTAACATCTAATTGTCATGAAATATTGCATTTTAAGATGCAGTTTTATGAGCGGCTTTTTCAGAATTATAATAGTTTCTTTAATCCTCCCGGAACATCAAAAATTACAAATGACAGAGTAAAACTTCATGACGGATGTAAACTATAGTGTTTTTTTACTCTCATTCAAATTATTCACTGTCACGATTTTGTGATAAAAATTTATAGTTATCATTCCTAACATACTTTAGTAGAACTGAACTGTCTAATCTTATACTAACTTTGACTACTACTATGATATTCCTCCAACGATCAATAATTATAAGACGATAGAATTCGACGAAAAATATATGAAACTGATGATGCGGATGTTGAAAACTAAGTAGTTCCATACACTAGTGTCAAACTTTAGGGGTGTCAATAGAATCTCTATCTACCTGTGACGCATTCGGGTACACATCGCGTGCATTTGTTAACTACCAAGTAGTTATATTTAAAGATTACAAATAAGTATATAAACGAGGAATTATGCTTACTGGTAAATACTTGAATAATACTTTCGATTATATAATCATGTTTTTGATAATTTGTTAATGATTGGTGTGTTTGCTCATACGCCTTATTACAGGAGTGAATGTATATGAATAATTTAAAAAAGATGATTCATTCATATTTTCATTTTAAGTCATCACGATGAATATACAATACAAATACCTTCTAGCTATGAAAAAAATGCAATATCACTTATCGGGATACAAAAGTACTCAAATCCTAGTAATAATTTATGAGGTCTTTACAACACAAAACAGTAAAATGTGGAGTAGACTTAAAAATGTGACGCTGATTATAATGCAGAAATACAGTATTAGTTATTAGGATTCATACTACTTGTGATTTGTAAGTAGGAATTATACATAGGACAAGACAGTCAAGCATTTCATTCTAACATGTATGACCAAAGAGGAAAAAACTAACCGGTGAGAAAAATGGATAAAAATCCAAAAGGCGTCTAACTACTCGTTTTCCAAGCTGATAAATCCTTTCGCTGCAAAACAAACCCAAAAGTAGCAGATATAAACCCAGAACAAAATCTTTATTATAATGTACACGATGATTTAATGTGTTATGGTGAGTAGAATTATTGACATATTCATTTATCCACAGTAAAAGAAGTTTTAAGATGGCTGGAACTAAACAACAAGGAGCAAAAACGTTCCAACTGAAAATTTTCACTGGAAAACTCCGATTTAAAACGGAATTATTCATGAAACGTCTTCGGTTTGTAGATGCAGCTGCCCTACACCAAGAAACAAAAAAATTAGAGAAACTTGAGTGAAGAAAAAACGACTGTAGCAGAATAATACGAATCCATTTACTCCGTAGAATATCAACAGCCATTAACAACCTAGAAAATAGTATTGATCATACAAAAACAAGTATATATACTTTACCAGAAAAATCTTGAATAAGGTTACATACGGGACAAAACGAAAAAGAACGTATCCAAAACACAAACTGGTCTACCACTTGCAACATTACAACGGTTAAATGTGGAATAATCCCTGAAATATGTCATCGCATATTATGCCCATTGGTTTGTACGTATGTGTCAAAGTACATACATTGTAAGAACAGAGGGGACCATTAATGTCTCCAAGTATCTTCGAGCGCATTTCGCAAAGTTTGTAACCAAAAGTACAGCAGGCTGCCAACAGTGTAGTTGTTTGTTATTTGCTTGACAGTGAACGTGATGTTTGAAAAGGTTTCAACATAATCCACAGACGAAGAAACTCAGAATATTGCACTTTATTGAAGCCGTTGTGATGAAAAGATTTAAACTGAATTTATGCATCCAATAAGTTAGTTGCCAATCTTATTTTGCCTTGGTGACCTCGTTTTCATGAAATTATTCCTCTGTGACATTAACTATAATTTTTAATCTTTTATATCTTGCTTCTGAGCACTAATCAGTTAGTCTATATGTATTTGTAAGTATTACGTAACCTATGAAATGAATCTTCAGTTTCGAAAATTATAGTTCAATGATCTTCTAGAATACTCATCTATTTAACAAATGTTTGAATAACCTTTTAATTCTTCCACAATTTCGTTCATCTTCATCTCTTTATACATTTAACTAAAGAGAGAAGAGCAGGATTTGTAGGATGACAATTACTCCCCTGGTGGTTGAAACTCTAATCTATTTCTCACTATGCTACTGCTTCATGCTACAAACTTGAATGATTGACTGATAAATATTTTACGCGAACGCTTGAATCGATTTCCTAAGCTCTTCTAATAACCCTAATGTAAATTTACACGACAACATGAACACGAGAGAAAAGGCGCGAAATGCCGAAAGAACGCTTTACTCCAAGGTTTGGTTTATGTACCAAAATCGAGGGTATTTATAACATTTCAGATGGTCTTGGGCTTCTGGAACCCTACTAAACATAGTAGTGGGATAGGTAATCGTTGAATCAGAAATGTGACACGAAACTACTTTCTAGATATTACAGAGAAACTTCTATTCAATGTAGATTGGATAAAACGGTTCCAAGCGCTTTTAGAACCCCTTTGGGCTTTTATCGAAAAGTGTTCTGTATCTCCCCAACATTGACGAAGTTCGAACATGAAAAATAACAACCGGTGAAATGAAGACACTACCAATATGAATCGAATATATATATATATATCACAAGAGGTTTTGTGGAGATTTTAGAAATTTCAATAATTGAAATCATGAGTCAATTGAAGATAGACCACCATGGAAAACCTGGAACCACTGAACGGCCGTTTCGTCCTAGTATGGGACTCCTCAGCAGTGCGCATCCACGATCCTGCTCACCACCGCGAGATTCGAAGCCAGAACCTATCAGTCTCACGCCTGGCGCTTAACCAACTAAACCACTGAGCCGGCCGGCATCCAACGTTGTTAATATCTAACTTCAACCAATCCAGTCCTGGGTTCGAATCTCGCGAGGGACGGGATCGTGGATGCGCACTGCTGAGGAGTCTCACACTAGGACGAAACGGTCGTCCAGTGCTTCCAGTTTTTCCATGGCGGTTTAGCTTCAATTGACGCATGATTTCATATATATATCATTTAAAATATTCTTACAGTGATACTGACACAACAGTGATTATGCAAGAATTGTACAACCAGGATTCAGAAATATAAGTGGTCATATATAAACACCATTCGGAATAATGTAGAACTAAAAGAGGAAAATGAATTAATGAAAATGAGCAAATTGCGGCGAAACAAATCAACAACTTTATGCTTGAACAATCATATGTACACAACTCAATACAAATTCTAAGCTCAGGTAATTTGTATAATATGTACTACCCTGATATTTAGTAAAGTGACCAGTTTAATAAAAAATAATTAAAACAACTCATTGTGTTATCGGATAAAAATTAAAAAAATTCAGCGAGGAAAATCTTCTTTTCGATGAAATCATTCACTTAAGCTGTACACTAGAAATTATATTTCCATGGTAAAAATAATTACAATGATTTTATCGATAATATTTATTTCAACACATAAACATTGGTTCAAGGAGACACCAAATGTGCCACATAAATGAATGAATTTGTGTGAGGGCTAGGATAACGCCCGGGCACCCAAACCGAAACAGAGGGGGCACACCCCAAGCCTTTGACCTAGAGATCTAAGCGGTGGAGTAACGTTAAGAGATGCAGTCTCATGAGTTTTGTGCAGTTGGTTTAATAAAGCTTTTAAGTAACTACTACGGTGACTGATCTTAACATAGCTGAGAAAGTAAGGTCGACACATCACAAGCATCTTAACAATCGACAATTGTTGAAATAGTACTAACGTCAGTAACTGTGAAGTTCTTGATTGAAGTCACCAATCAACTCAAAAAAGTGTCGGAGATATTCAAAAGTCTACATATGTCACACCAACGAAGTAATATTTAAGGAGAAATTAGTCAACTATCTCCATATTTTAGGATGATACACGAAAAACGACCAACCTTCGTTAGGAAATAGCATCAACTTTACTTCAGCGAAGACAAAACCTAGATTGAAATCAGAAGATTTAGTTATGAAAACAAACTCAAATTTCTTCTGATGCTAGTTTTTATGTGTCATGTAGAGTTAATATACTAAAGAAGGTTCGAATCCAATGTCAATCTTTATGAATCTGATATGATGAGTAAGGTCTCAACTTCATGAGTGAGAGACCTTAAGAACTAATAGTTTGTAACATATAAATGTTTATTTTGTGTTAGAATTTTATACATCAGCGTGTTTTTCTATTACATAACGTCCCCTCTACCGAGTAGTTGATGTACTGTCTTCTGAAATCAGTTCATTGTATGGGATAGGGAGTTACGTCAGCAACTCAGTTTTACGAGCAGTTATCACTCGACGATATCGTACCACTCCTCATCACAGTTGATTACGATCGAACCCACTCATCCTCGAAAGTCTTTCACGGTGAATTTTGAAAACTAATTCATAACAGAATATCTGTTCATTATTTACTCAACTTTTGCAAAATACAGAATTAATTGAAACGCTACAGTGCCCTCATTAGGTTGAAATGCAACAATAACCTTTTAATCGTTATCACTATCAGAAAAAGAAATTTCTCGAATCGCAAGTTTTGGGAAAATAATTCATCCGCAGTCTATCCTGATATTGAAAAAGTTTCTATGATCAACTGAATATGAGTGTCATATGATGAATGACAGAAGTTACTTTTGGAGGTCTAGTAGGTGATATTTGTGTAATCTTATCAATTATGAGTAAATAATAATTGGAAGTACAATTTCATTGCTTGGATTTTATTGGCTGATTATAAACTACAGTAATACCAAATGTTTCTATTAATACAGCAAAAAACACCAATTGGGTGAAAAAGTATTTCTTTTCAATTAGTTCCCCCCCCCCATTAGTGTTGAATTGACCACCTATCATTTATTTGGTAATGACTTTACTTTTAATTGTAAAACTGACATAATAGTGTGGAGAATTGATGAGGAACTAATTGAGAAGAGATATTTATTCGACCAACGTGTTAATAAATTATTAACTCGTCACTTCTTAATGACTAATGTATTAATTATTTGTCTAACCAAAATGTACTAGCCATTGTTGTTACTTTTATCATTTTGATGAAGTCTTCTGACGTTGGTGGACATTGAGTGCATTATTGTGATCGACCTAAAAAAATAACTGTCTCTAATCTGGTGAACCCTTCTCTATTATAGTGGACGGAACTGTATATTTTATTGAAAATGAGATTGATTCCCAGTTCAAACGGCAATTCAGCTCAACATTAATATGTTACGTTTACCTGCTTCGGTCTGGGTACCCGAGCAGTATCACAGCCCATACACAAATTAAGTGACTTGTGTGGCGCATATGTATTCGGTGCCCTCAATATTTATGTGTTCAAATAAATAATCAAATAAATACATAAATGTTACGTTTAAGAAAACGAGCACAAAAAAGTAGATAATACTTACTGCACAAAGAAACGCCAAAGATTATATCAAATACTTCTTGATTCCCAAATTCATAAGCAAACATTGTGAATACCGAAAATATGAGACAAACAATTCCACTCCAAAACAAATGATTTATAGATCTCTTCTTCCAGAAAGGCTGACTGGAATGAAACAAACAATAAATGTTTAAATAGGTCATGAAAGAAAAACGAGCTACTTTAATCAAACTTAAAAATCAACAAGAAAGATATTGACCAAAATCTAGAAATCAATAATAGGATCGTTTGGCATAAACGTTAAGATAAACCACTAGGAGTAGGAGCTTTATGAACCGACGTCGGAAATCCTAGGCGGTATTTGGAAATTCGACTATTGAAGTAATCAACATTTGAAGGGAATATATCAAGCTTGGAAAATGGTGGTACTATAAAAAACGACAACTAAATATAGAAATCGTTTAGGCCATGTATAAAAGAAAGCTTTTAACGAAAAAGCTACGGGACTGTTAGGAAACTAATTCTTATTTACGTTCTACATCCGACCGGGACTTTTACAAATTTTCTGAACTAGTTTCATATTTTTGAGGTAGACAACTGCAGAATTTTACCAAAATTCATATGAAGATTAAAAAATTAGAACTTAATGATAATAATATGCGGACTGATTAGTTAGATTTGTAGAGAAAAATCCAGTGTAGATAAACTATGTATCTATGTAGGAATTCACATCAGCAGTGTTAACGAATAATCTTAATAAATGCCAAATGACAAGCTATCTGAGACAGGGAAATAGAGGGATGATTAAGAGGTATGACTTGATTTAAAATGAAAAGGTGTATTAACTACTCATTCAAGCACCTGTCAACCTATACCACTTTACAATGTAAGTAGAATGTAAATATACTTAATTAACTTACGAAAATAAATTAGGGGAACTTCGACAAGAGATTATGGGTGTTATTAGTAAAAATTCTATGACATGATGCCTGTTGAATAAATCTACCACAATACCTCACACAAAGAGACAAAGGAATAGTCCTAGCAATGATACTGTAGAACTTACCGAGAAATTCTGAACACATTTGAAAGGTTATTCCAATACAGTCCAATGATCATAACACATAGTATTGTTGACATGAACTACAAATAACGAATAGTAGTCAATGTAAGTTATGAACTGATAAGATATGAACTATCAAAACTACCATAGTAAAAAATAATAATTTCATCTTTATCGGAAAGGCTTGTTATGAAACAGAGTTTTATTGTTAATGTGCCAAAGTGTCTAATCTCTCTTGCTATATTAACCAATACACTGGATACTGAGATACTTCGATTAATCATATACTGGGTTAGAACTATAGGTACCAGTTAGAACTCAGAAGATTGGTGTACGGTTATTTACTAATGCAAAAAATCATTGGCACGATCAGACGCTAAGAAATGAAATGAAACGATGCCGATAAATAGAATAGTAATTACAGCATAGTAAAAGCAGAAAAAAAACAATGTTAGGGTTTGTTTTGAATAAGAACATAACAAATTATTAGTCTCAACAGTACAGATCGTTTACATCTTTAAAATTTTTTTAGCGTAGACAAGATGTTGGATGAAATGAAGATTAAAATTAAGACAAGAGAATTAATTAAGCCGAAATAAAAAAGTACGAGCTACAAGATAAAAAATGAGCCTATTTATATAATGGTCAAGTTACAGAATATAATTAAATACTTAGACGGGGAAACGCCTGTCTTATGAATCATATAAAGTAAAGAAAGATATGCATAAGTTTTCATGTATGGTTGATATATTTTGCTCGATGAAACAAAAAGAACATGATACACATAATGCGATATATACAAAACTTCAAGTGCAACCTACCTTCAGAAATAGTTCTGTTTTCATTGTTTGGTGATAGTATCTAAGCAATGTAACTGAAACTATGATTAAAAAGACTAGAAAATGCACAGTGAATATGGGCAAATAACTGAGTGTATTGCTCAAAGTGTTAAAAAATTCTGTGTGCATATTCAATAAAATAATTCCAGTGAACAAAGGAAGAACCATACGGGAAATCTGTTTATTTAAAGTATCTGTGAAAAAATAAGTAAAACAGTAAAGAAATAAAAATAATTGAATACAATATTTTTCAGACGAAGAAATTAAGTAGTAACGAAAATTTAATTAATAATTATTTATTTAAATAGCATGACAGAAGTGAAAATAACGAAAACTATATTAAAAGTTTAATAAATCAGTATATGATTTTAAAAGGATAAAACAAACTTCACAACAAGTCATAATCACAAGGATTGTGAGGCTTCCATTTAATTACACACAAATCTAATATCACTGTAGAAATTTAAGAAAAAGCGGCTATAAAATTACTTGCTCCGATCCCACGTTGCATGACTAATTTCGCAAATATAAACAATGTTTGAAAAAATTAGAAAATTACTAAAAAAAAGCGTATAACAAGGATCTTATTATTATTTATTATATTTCAACACATAAACATTGGTACGCAGAGTGACCAAAAAATATATGCGCTAAACAAAAAGTAGCTATCATTAAGCTAAAAATAAGGAGACTTTAACGCAGCAAAAGTCCGGCGCTTTGACCGTGTTGGTGGGTACGGATAATCTACCTAGGGTAGTTGAAAAACCCTGATTCCAAACCGCTGGTGCACATGGGGACCGTGACCCAAGGGGACAAATGGAATGTGAACATGCCTTCAGTGACCAACTACCGTGGGTTGTCATCCGTATTTATAGTTGTATGGTAAATATATTCCTATAGGATAGAAAATATCGCATTATGACTTGATTCGAGAGCTTTATTATCAAATGAGGTTACGTAACAATCAAGGGGTAAGAGAAGAATGTAAAAGTGAAAATAACTTGCGGGTCACATATGATGAAAAGCGAAAACATAAAGGTTATAATAATAACTGAATAATAATCATGAAAAATTGCTAACGGATGATAATAACTGACTGCGGTTTAAAATTACAAAACACTAATTTTAAGAAAATTTAAAAAATGATAAAAAAGATTCGTCCATAAGATCTTAATACCTAGACAACATCCGGAAAAAGTACCAACAGTTCTTTAACGAATATCGAATTTAAAGGAGATATGGCTGTGGAAATCTTGAATAAATGAATTTTAAAATCCCTGAATAAAACGTTTTACTCAGCTAAGCTCGGTATTGTTTTCTCAAACCGGCCCACCATTCACGGATGTGTTAAGGATAAACTTCCGCTTTGTTCATATCAATGTGCATCTAGAAATTTACTTGCTCATGTGGGGCAGGTTACTTTGGCCACACAAAGCGATCACTTTCTAAACGCATTTCAGAACAGTACCCGGTATGGCTTTTAATAAGAGAGTGCAAAACAATTACCAGTTCGATACAGGAGCGTTTAATCAACTCTGGACACATCGCTTTGAAGTTCATGGCAATACCTGTTTGTATTGCATTTAATAGTCGTAAAACATCTACTTTGTTTTCTCTATTCCTGTCGTTCTTCCACCGATCAACTAACAATCGAGAGCTGGTTGGTATTGTTACTGATGACTCACCTGCAATAGCTGCTGCTATTTCGCCGGTGTATCCCAATTCCCACCACATTTTGTGTCCAGTTCACCTAACTCGTAATGTCATAAAGAGGGTAAGTTTTTTGTTGCTTGACATCAACCCATTAACCGTCATTGTAGAGGCTACGATCTGAAATTATACAACTATTCTTTCGTCTTATGTTTTTCAACTACCCTAGGTAGATGTTCTATACCCACCAACCCAGTTAAACAGGAAAACATTCGCGTTTTGTCCTTTTGATTTCGAAAACAACATCTCCACCTCGAGAACGCAGCAAGTAGGACAACCCGGGCTGTGGCTTTTAATGCGTGACTATATGTAAACATTTTGAGAGTGATAATAGGTTCTTCTCACACTCGTCCGTACCAAGGCATTTGGGGGCATAACAGGGAATGGTTTATTTGGAATAAAAACAATCTTAACGGTAAACAATGAGACAAAATATAACCTCGCGGATTTAAAAACACAAAGTGTCACAAACAGAATTACGTATCGATGTAGGTACATAAACTTGTATCACTGGTTCAGTAGATTTAACCGCTAACATTTCACCATAAGTTGACAAATTTTAGGTTCTGTTTACCATGAGGCAACATTTAACGAAATATTAATCGAATAGCATGTTTTTTTCCTTATATTTATTATGATAAAGAAGATTCAGCATAACCTAAACTGTGGTTACATTATGTACTTGGACCTGGGAAAAACATCTTACATATGTCAGTAATATCAATCAATACTTGATGCTAAAAACAATTATTATTTGACGATATTTTACCATCAGATATTTTCAGAAAAGAATATGATGACCACAGAATCAGTAGGCTTAATAAATGTTAACTAATTAATTATTTCATAAAAAACTGGACCGTAAATCTTGATCATTGAATTACTTGTGTTAGAGTATCTGTGCGAAGCCAACTTTCATAAACAGGTTACATAATTTAGTTGGGAGCGACAAAACAACGGTGAAATAGCGAATTTATAATAAACAGGGGTGAATAATAATATATTTTGATTATTAAAAGTATTTTGATGAGTAGTTTATGTAGTACATTTTACAGAAAACCTAAATAATAAAGTGTAATATAAGAAAGTGAATAAGAAAAAAATTTCGTAAATTATGGCTGAAAACCATAAAATAAGACATACCCTTAGCTGTAAGCAGACTTTGAACACGAAGTTGTGATGATATTAAGTTTGTTGTTGTTGTTAAAAACAGAATCTCGATCTAGATAAGGGAAACCATAATGTGGTGAGAAAGAATCTGACTCACACACATAAAGATTATGAAAACGGAAAGTAAGAACAACTGACCCGTCTAATAGTTATTTTATGTAAACGTTGGGTCAGAGATATAAGAAAATATAGGTTAGGTATAATCAGCCCAACACGTCACATTGTTAGCGTTAACTTTGTTAACGCTTAATGTGTTACTTACTGATAACAAGTAGTACGTTTTGAACTGATAAATTATGGTGTCACCGACATATTATCGCCGGTGAAATTATATTCTGAAGGTGACTAACAAAAAACATCTCTAAAAAGAATCATGTGGGTTAATAGTTTATGACAATCAAATTTTCAGTCTACTAACCTTTACATCAAATATTTTCCGAGAATTTCTGTCCATCAGAACTGGATATATTCTGACATCTGGTTTCATTTATAATTTTGAACAAAAAAAGCCCACTACCTTTTAAATGTAACTGTAAGAAATCAGGAGTGATCACTAATATCAGAGACAAAATTGTTCGTCTCCAAAATGATTCCCATCGAAAACTAAGTGCTATATATGGGCTTTATGAGTTCTTTCACATATGTAAGTACAGAATACGGGATTTAAAAGTATAGTTCGGATTTTACATATCATACAATAACGGTAAATTCCATTCCCATTGAACGAATAAAAAGACAGAACCAAATTAAAATTGTAGTCGACTAGATAACGCGAATAATTAACATGCGTGTACCTGGTACTCTTTAATGCTGACAAGATTAAGGTTAGAAAATTATCCGGACTAGCACCCAAATATTTGAACTGTTGATTACTAAAGTAACCAAAAAGCCTATTTGAAATAATCACTAATGTCTCACTAAAGTATTCTTGCAGTATTGAGTGGAATACCATACATTGCTTTTGTTTTTCGGATGTGTTTAAAACTGTAGACAACTGTTATATTATGCCATCTACAACTGATTAAAAGAAGCGATTTGCTCATTGTTTTGATATCTCAATCCATGAATTAAGGTTGAAGTCAGTAATGTACTGCGTGTTATTTGTAGGTTTATGATAGCAAGATACAAGTGGTGTCCAAACTATTGATACTTATGATCGTTATCAAGCTGTAGAAATCCGTCAGTACCTTGCTGAAGTGATGACTTGCCTGATTAGATGAATAACTCACCTTTCTTTCGCTAAACGATGCAGAAATGTAAGAAGTTATTCTGGTTGCCAAGTTACAAATGTTAACTAAAGGCTTCACTATAACTCAAATGGTTACACAATAGTGACCCACAAGATGCAGATTCCTGTACTTGGCTCAGAACCACATTTTATATGTGAGGGCTGGTGATAATACTTGGCTACCCAAACTGAAGTAGGTGAAGTGACACTAGAACCTGTGACCTAGTGGTTGAAATTTAAACACTTTAGTCACCAAACTACCACTCCACTGGTTACAAAACTGAAACAAGTGGTTTCGGTAGACTGTATTCAAGTGTTTTTTCTAGAGAAAATTTATTTTAGAACATAAGTGAATTATCGGAACACGAACCAATAGCAGGTAGACACATAATCAGCCGGCGAAAACTTCGTTCACCTTTCGTTTCAAAACAAACACAAGATATTGAAATCAAAAAGGAACTGTTGAAATAACACAACAGTTGAATGATTTAGTACCGTAAGCTTACTGTAAGATGATTTCTAATTTAAAAGGTGGGTGCGGACGTTAGGACAACAAATTATTTCAGTCAATCAGTCAGCTACAACATAGGACCAGCCATATATATGCATCGGTTCAAGTTGCCATACCTCATTAGCACAACAAGATGAACACCGAATCAATAGAAGTAGTTAATTCAATGATAGTAATATATAAAAGAAAGATTTTGTATAAAGATATAGTACAGACAGAAAAAATTAGTTGGTAGAAAAATATAAATCAAATATAATCTCATAGTTTAAGGGAAGACAAAGAGTGTATACACCTATGTCATTGTGATCGATTCTGAGTCATACCACCCAGAGTCCCCAACCATTGGTTACGATAGCCGCTCGGATTCCAACCAAGTAGTCTTCACCTACCAACATGGCTGACTAGAAGTTAGTGACTTCAAGCACTGATACCACGTTTCGGTTTGGCCAACCCCAACTTTCTTCTAACCATTCCCAACACCGGTTAGCATTGCACGTTGTGGTGATCAGTGTTCGGGCATACGTAACACGTGGCCCAACCATCTCAGTCGATGAAGATTCACAACCTCATCAACTGATTTACCATCATTCCCTAATACCCTGCATCTAACCTCACTATTACTTACCCGGTGATCCCAGCAGACGCCAGAAATATTTCTAAGGCATCTGTGGTCAAATACTAGTAGCTTACGAGTGTCTTCTACTCTTAAAGGCCATGTTTCGCTGCCGTAAAGTAGAACAGAACGGACTGCCGCGCAGTATACTCGTCTTTTTATTGATAGACGGATATCTCGCCTTCGCCAAAGGTGGCGTAAGTTAGCGAAAGCCAAACGAGCTTTTCGAATCCGTGCTGAGATTTTGTCAGACATCAAACCATTATGGCTGATCAGACTTCCAAGATAAGTAAAGTTGTCAGCGTGTTGAACTACTTCACTCCCTATCCTTAGTTCAGGTGTTGACGCAGACCAGTTCTGAAGCGACAACATGCATTTAGGGGAGAGAGAAACGCACCACAAACATCCTGGAATTGTTGCCCAGTGCTTTCAAAAGACTGCATCTCATCAGCGTCTTCAGCAAACAGGACTATATTATATGCATATTCTAAGTTGATAAGTGGACCTCCTGGAAGGAGATCAATGTCCGAAAATTCAGTCGACGAGAACGTTATCTGCAGTAGTAGGTCTATGATGAAACTGAACAAAAATGGAGATAGTGGACGGCCTTGACAGCCACCACTTAAGGTTCCAAAATCAGATGATAGCTCTCCATAAGCTCTGACTTGACTGGAAGTGTTCGAGTAAAGAGCCTTCACAAGGTTTATGTACTTCTGAGGTACACCTTTTTTAATGACAGACACTGCCACAGAATCTCTCGGTCTACGGAGTCAAATGCTGCTTTTAAGTCAAGAAAAACTATCATTGTCGGACGTCGATAAGCATGCCTTTGTTCTAAAACCTGACAAATAGTGAATGTGTATTCGATGAAGCCACGACCAGGTCTGAAGCCAGCCTGATATTCTCGTGCTTGCAGTTTACGAGTCTTTGTTAGGAGTTCGATAATTATTGGGGCTAGTATTTTAGATGTTATTTTAGTCAAACTAATCCCTCTATGGTCATCATCGGATGATTTTGACCCCTTTGTATATATTAAGACAATCAGTGATTGCGACCAGTCAGATGGCATATTCATTTCCCAGATTTTAGCTAAAACATTAGTCAATCTAATCGCTGAAATTGGACCACCATACTTGAGGACTTCTAGAGCCAATCCATCTGGATCAGCAGCTATTCCTTGTTTCAGAATAGCTATTCCTTATTGGGCTTTAATTAGAGTTAGGAGGCCTACTTCAATGTTCCATCCAGAATGTTTGGGAATGCTAGGTAGCCGTAAGGTAGCTGAAGGCCGGTTGAAGTGCTCCATAAAGTATTCTAAACGTCCGGGCTGAGAGCAGATAATGGTGTTGTCTTTTCCCGAGATCGTCTCACGTACATTTGATTTCTTAATTCATTTCTTTTACTTATTTACACCTGTAGCTCTTCTAGAGTTACTGCCGGTCCCAAACCCGGGTAAAGAAGGAGATTTGGGCATGGGGTTAGAGACCCCATCCTTTAGAAAACTAACTCGCTAAAAATAATTCAGTTTCTTTTATTATACTGAAAAGCTGTCTTGTGTTACCTACAGCAGCTGCCTTTTCCATCTCTTTTACTTTCCTTGCCTACCACTGCTTACGGTCGTTCCTCAGGCTTTTGTTTAACCTATATCTTACTTGTTTTCGCTCTTCATCGTGTTTCAGAACCTGATGGGATGAGTTTACAAGAATCTAGCAGTGCAATAGACTTAGTAAAAATCCACTGGTTTTTCGTAACCCTTTGGTTTAAACCACTAATAGATGTCACTGTTGTTTCCACAGCTGTAAGTCGTGATGTTAACCTAGATGTAAATAGCATTCACAAATATGCGTACAACACTTATAAACCGGTAAATATATAAATATGCCACAGCAAACAGTTTCGTTAATCATAAAAGGAACATCATAAGAGTAGGTGAACGGAGAAAAATGGCAATTGTTAATCAAATCGTACTGTGAAATATCTGAAATAGTAACCCAACATTTTATTTCTTAAGGATAGATTATCCAATAAAATATTGGATTGAAATTTCATTTTACTTACCATGAATCTAAGGAATGATCCGTCACTTTCATCAAAGTAATAATATACAGCATAATTCAATACCGGGAATATGTTTAGCAAAATAGCAATGCACGCCTCCATGAATGAATTCCAAAGGACTTCAAGATGTTTTTTCGGTTTATATCTGGAGCACAGCCACAAAGTAGGCACACTAAAAAACTAGGAATTACATCAAGTGTTACCCAAGAAAGCATGTTAGTGAAGTCAAATGTTTTTTCCAATGACCAAAGCCCAGCATCGTGATCAGTAGACAACAGATTGTTGGTAAGCTACTGAAAGTTGGAATCTCAAGAACCTATTACTAACTGATAGTAAACAATAGGGACTAACCTCACATTCAATGTTAGCAAGAGAAAACTTTAACACAGACCACACTAAATAGTGGCAGAGAAAGCAATTAATGAGTAGTATGTACAACAAATTGACTGGAGCACTCCTGGATGATAAGGTGTCCGTAAAAACTGAAATTACCATATGAGCGGCAACAAAGTTCTCAAAGCCGTTATTTCAGCCATAAGTATAGTGCCTAATGTGATCACAAGCAACCTACACAATTCACATTTTAAAAATGCTTACAAACTGTTGCTGCTAACTCGAGAAAATACTTTGCACAAAGAATAATGAAAGCACAATAAAATCAAGAATCTGTGAATGTTACATTGAGAATTATCTGTCTTACTGATCTCCAACGTAAAAACTGATAAATAAAGCTGCACAGAATATATATAACAGAACTAGGAATTCATTCGGAAGCATTTCCTGAGCCTGAAAAAAGGAATGTTTCATCAGTACAGTTCAGCGATTAATGTTGGATAGTATGAAAATGACCAATGTATTATCAAACTAACAAGAAAACGCCGGAAAAAAGAAGCAAACACAGTCAAATGCGAGTGCGGATACGAAATCACACACATGACAGGTAAGTAAGTTATTCACCAACACACCATCAAACCTCCTGTCGTTTCTAAACTGAAATTCATACAATTACGGACCAAAGTCGGTTTTTTTGGTTCATTTAACAAAATGGACAGTGAAAGACTTAGTTACGATGGACGAAAACGCTACTCAACGGCGGCATTATGTCTTAATTTGAAATGAAATAAATTTAACCATTCAGTTACATACAACCTAGAATCTGGCACGTGAGTATCGGTTCAAACTGTCACACCTCATTAGCAATGAAGAAATTGTCAGGCCGAATTCCACAGTGGAGATAGTGACAGTATTAGTGGAAATACAACAGACTGGCATAGAACACATGATTTGAGGAGGAAATGTAGATTAGCAGAGTAGGAAATAAACCTCAAATTCAAACTTGTTTCTCGATACACCGTGTCATCAAATATCCTAATCAACGAATAGCATCCGTGCTCTTAATAATTCCTTATTCAAAATTTAATTTGCTCTACTTCAGTTACCTAGTTAACTAAGATTGATTTAACTAATCTTTTGAGTTTAAGAGATATGGGAAGCAAGACATGGCATTCCCTATAATTGATTACCTGATATGTTGTAGTTAGACGAAATTATTATAATAGTAGTGTGTAACTTGGAGTCCCAGCAAATTCGGACTGCATTTCAATAACACAACAAACTCCGACTCAAGTGGTGTCAAGGTCTCGACTCAAGGCCAGACTTCAAACTTGACGGATAGAATTTATCAAGTATATGTTTATTGACCACTGAATATGAATAGTATGAATACGTTCTTGTTAACGGAACTGCATGATTCTTATTACACCCCTTCTGAAGGTAAGACAGAAAAACAGATTAATTCTTAACAGAAGTGATTGTAGAGTAACAGCATTGCTAATCTTTCTTTCTATACGTACGAGACGAAACTAAACATCAAGCCTAGTTTAAAAGGTCCAATAGAAACTATCATAACCATTTATCTGCATGGGGATTTCTGCTTACTAATATTCATCTTAGTGAAGTTGGTATGAATGTTTATCGCAGTTATTCAGCATCCTATCCCAACTACGTATTACCAAAAATTTATTACTGACTTATTACAGTACAAAAACTTATGGCTGATATGGTGTACCATAATAATACCCTGCCCACTAATACTTCTATGCGGCACATGCTGAGGTTTTAAATTTTTCAGGAGAAATTATACAATGATATCACGTTAACATCACTTTGTACCAGTTTTGTAGTGCAGTACCATACCAGGCTGGTCGTTTCAAACATATTGGTCCGATTCTGTTGATTATCTTTCTGCATGCATAATTCTAAGCTTTCATCTGTATTTCTTTCTGTTGTAACGTCGTCTGTTTGCTTCCTATTTACCAGTCATATCCATTCAAGTGGGCTGGAGATGGAATTATAGTGACTCACATTTATCACGAGAACACGACTGGTTTAATGAAAACAATTATTATTATAACCAACTGTACCAGTGTTTGTTTTAATGTGCTTTTGTTTGACTGTGCTAATGACAGCTATACTGTGCTTCCATTCTTATACACACACTTTGATTGTGACTTCGCGCGAATTCGGTTACGTTCTGTAACCAAGCTTGTATCCTGGCACGATCTCGGTATCCTTTCGATACCACGAGATCGCCAGCAAATATATCTCGACTTGGTCCATTAACTGCCTTCTGATATTTGGCTTCTCGGGGATTTTATGGATTTATTTGGTTACGTTCTACCTTCGCCTTCTGATTTACTTGGCACGTGTTTCTCGGTAGCGGTGTTCATAGCCAATTTCGACCCGACGCCACACTACAGAATAAAGACCAATAGGTTACACGTTGAAACAATTCCTGCATGGCCGATCCATTTCTGACTTACTCTAAATATTTAACCACTGATGCCAGTTATCACGATTACAGTATGTTTAACCTTGAATATCGTTTGGTTCGAAATCAATGCCACGTCAAACTCTTATAGAGCCAGTGAACTTTCACACCCTTTGTCAAATCACCCTACAGTCAGGGAGCTGATCCTTGCCAAGGTTGAGGACAACTAACGTGCATCAATAGATTGCACACCATTGGCTGGTCCATATGATGGTGGTTACACAGTTTCAAGTACCTACTCTGACTAGTATATTTCTGTAATAATGTCGTTTGTATTGTAGAGTCATCAAGGTAACGGCAATACTGCGATGTGACAGAAGGTTGATCCACGTTAAGTATTTGCTGCAAGATGTGACTTCGACGTCAGCTGGTTGGTCATGCCATTCCCAGTTAACTATTGTAGGCCCCAATTATTCAACACAGATCATCGTCTTTGGTAAACTACACTCTTGTAGTAACAGTGCTGTGACAATGAACCCATCCCAGATAACCCTTCAAGGTTAGTGCACTCTACCTTAGAAGATTTACCGCTAGATATTGAATATTTGGTGAAAAGTAGAATTCAATAAAAGCCAACGTGAAAAATTTATAAATCGGGTATGGCTCGTCCGTACTAGCGTAGTAACCCTGTGTCGCTCTTCCAAAAAAATTGAATTTGTTTTTCGGGTCTCTGATATAAGTACCTAGTTTGGAATTGTTTCTTAAGGAGAGATCACGAGAGTTGAAGTCACTAAGCAGTAACATCTGGGGAAAATTCATCTCAGGAACTGGTCTGATGGCTTCAAAGAGTGTACTGGATGCTGAGCCTAGAGTGTTCTGCAAAGTGTACTTGCTCCTGGGAGTCGAAGCGTCGCTCCATAAACGGATTGAGCTGCAGTGTCAGCTTTCACTGCATCGCGGATACCAAGTGAGACGAGTGAAAGGGCGTCGTGAAACGTTTGCAGCTGATGGGGAAGCTCTTAGCTGTCGGTGAAAGCGTTCTGCTCACCCAATTGCTGAAAGGTGGTAGGTGGTCGTTCGGAATCGCGTGTTTCCCAATAGTGTAGTTAGACAAAGGAAAAGTTCAGATTCGAACTGGAGTCCATGGTTTGTCGTAATAGTTGAACGGAAACCGAAGCTTGTTAACCGTGGTTCAATTTAGGCGTGGGCCACTATTTCAGCAGTAATATCATTGATGGTTACAGTTTCTGACCATCGAGTGAAACATTCGACACAAGTTAAGAGGTAGGAGTATCCATTTGAATCTGGTAAAAGTCCTACCAAATGCAGATGAACATAGTTGAAACGATCATCGGGAGTTATGAAAGAGCTCAAGGGACATTTGTTGCGTTTAATTACCCCAGATTTCTGGCAACTTACAAAGAAGCGTACCCACTCCCTCACGTCTGTTTAAAGACGTTATGCCAGACAAGGTGTCTGCAACAACATTGTTTGCCCCAAGTATGTGTTGTTTATCTGAAGTGGTCTGGAAAAACGTGGTCTAGTTGTCAAGTCTGTCGAGAGGAGTACTCGTCTGAAGACGAGCATATAGAGAACGTAAGAATTTGATAGTCATTAAAGAGTGTATTCTAGGCCTTCAACAGAATGTAGAAAATGTCCTGCAGAACAACACATGGCCAGGAGTTCCCCACCGAAAGTGCTATGCCTCGCTTCAATGTCTTGCAACCGTCTTGAGGAGAACGTGGTGAGCAAAAAATGTCGAAGACTTACAAAGCTATTAATTTCGGGTATTTATTTACCTCTATATAATCAAAAAGTGCCTCCAGATTTGAAAGCGAACCTAAAGAACCTTTGTAGTCTCCAGTTACTTGTGATTTTTAACAGGCTACAAGAGTAGTTGATATTTTAAACAATATTATGTGCGTGAAAGTAACTTAAGTAGACATTCAACGTGACAGGAACCTTCCTTTCACTCTAAATGTATAGCTACTTCCATAAACCTATTTGGTTATGTGTCACATGTTTTTTCTGTTCAAAACGAGGTTGTTATTGTTCATTTTACTTATGACTCTGTCTAAACATTACCACTTTTGTTGCATAGTACTTTACTGAAAGTCTTAGCTTTTGCATTGTTGATCGAAGTTTGTATCGGGTTGAGAACTTCACGCTATCTGCTCCTAGTTCTGGTTTCCAGATTGTTTTAATCGGAGTTTTGTGTAGTCGTTGGTCGTAGTCTGTTGCTTTTCCTATTAAGTGTAAGTGTATTTTGTACGTTTTCATGGTCGTAGGCTCTTATGTTCTCCTCATTTACAGCTATATCCACACACTACTATGCATGCTCCACTAGTGCACAAAGTAACTCTGGCTAGACATGAACCGCTACAGACGTGTTTTAACGGTGCGACTATTGGATAGATGTGAATTATGGAATTATTTTACAGATTATTATCATTACATAGGATTCTATGAAATTATTAAATAACCAGATTATTCTGTTCGCATAACCCCTATATTGTAAGTTTCCACTAGACTCTCTAACTAAAGCTGTACGCTTTACTATCTTTTAACCATTACTGATGAATTATTCACGTTTTGTTTCGTTTTCAGAAGCTTATGGCTTGTTAATGTATGAAAAATTTCTCAGTTGGACTATATTGCATTCTGATAATACATGTATATGAGCTTGTAACAGCTAAGGTTGGTTGGTTCAGAGATGACCCTAAACAACCAAGCATATGCCAAAACAGTATTGTTCAAGTATTCATTCACTTCCTTGTTTTGTATAAGCGTTATATTCCCTATTATCTTATATTGAATGTTGAGAGCCTTTGTTTGTCTGAACAGATAATCCCATGCTCCACTGTCACCGCGCGAAGATCGAAATAAAGACCTAAGCAATTGCACGCACGTCTGGATAAGATGTGACAAAATAAAAGCACCACTTAGCCCTCCATTTGAAGGTCCTTTCAAAGTCGTCTCAAGAAAATCTAAATATTTCGTGATAGAAAAACATGGAAACATCGACACAGTAAGTATTGATAGGCTAAAGCCGGCTTATCTAGATCATGAACCACCATACGTGTTGTTAGATCGTTTAACTGACAAATCCATTACGGAATCGAAATGCAAAAACGATAAATCTTTACAAATGACTAAAACGGTTCGCTGGGCACATCCGATTAGCCAATCAAGGATGTTGACAGTTTCAGCTGCAGGATAAAATCTAACCACGTAGCTAATCAGACCCTTCATCTACTTAAAAATAACTTTTCTCCTCATTCCGCCTCACCTACAACTCCCCAGACCTTTTGCCTTTGATATATAAGTGTTATGTTAAATTTTTTTTAAATACTGGACACATAAGCTAGGTATTCCGAAACGATGGCTGAGGATTTCAATCAAACTCATACAACTAACACTGGCAAATACAACGAATTCGAAAAGCAACCCAGGCGAGTTTTATAATTTCTTTTTCTGGTTAATTAACTATGTTAGCTGTACTTCTTATATATTTATATACATTTTTCACGTAGACTGGCTATACATATATACCATATGAACTAATTCTAAAAGTTTTCGGTTGAGGATATGTTTAGTAGCTTGATACGCTTAATACTACTATTAATAAGTGGTTTTCTAGACAAAACATTTTGGATTAAACTATAGTCAAATACTTAATAAAGTTCTCATCATTTTTTTTTCATGTTTAGGAAACTTACATAATGACTTAACCAGTTTCCCTGCAGCATGCTTTTCAGTGTGATCATATAACCCATCTTTATTGGCAATATTCAGATTTTTTTTAATTTCTGACATTTAAGAATCAATAACCGTGAAGATATAGTACAGTGCGTTACTGTAAGGTTACTATGTCAGCCGCATTGATTCCACATACCTAATTTTAAACAACTTATAA